AATCAGATAAATACTGGAATGAATGTCGCCAAGAATATCGCAATTACGATCAGCGATTGAAAAAGGTGGTCAGTAAATACGATTCAAAAAATCAGTTGAATTATTTGAGAAATATTGCTAAGATTATTTCATTTAATAATTAATGTAATTGTCTGAAAAGTAGTATTATTCATTGTTAATTAATTAGATATCTTAACATGTTTTGTTTTAAGTGAATTTCATCAGTTCCTACATGTATTTTTAATGTATTGATATTTGGTAAAGTAATCTAACCTAACTTTAAGATAATATCACATTTCTTTAGCAATGTTTGTTAGTACTGATTATCAATCAATGCTGTGCAATTATTTTTTGTGATATTATGCAATATTATTTTTGATAAATGTTAAATAAGAATTTTATAAATTGACAATTGACATCAAATTATTAATATTGTAAGTCGTTGTAAGTAGGGTTCAATTAGTTTCATAATATGTCATATTTTGAATAATAAATTTACGTATTCTTTCTTAATTTTCTGTAGTTCTTTATTTTGTTTCAGTAAAATTTTGTTGGGGATATTTTATCTGGAGATATTTTGTTCGGGGATATTTTGTTGGGGATTTTTTGTCGGGGATATTTTGTCGGAGGATCAAATATCATGGAACCCTTCGCTCGTGTGTCCATGTGCTGCTGTCATGTGTAATCAGCTGTTTATCTTCATCTCGTCCATTTTCATCATCAGCGCAACCTTTATCATCTGTATCATATTCTTCTTTTTTTCGTGATCTTCATTTTCTTCTGAAAATACTGAAAGATGACTGAGACCTCTTTCTGAGCTATTTAATTGTTCTGGCTTGTTGATCTCAGCATCAGTCAATTTGTTTCCCTCAAATACTTCAGACGGTGCATAGTCTTTGTCACTAAATGTTTTCATTGTAAGGGCAACTGCCAGTTTTTTATATCTGCTTTTTATCGTGCTTTCTTTCTTGACTAAGATTCAGTCGCATCTAGCTTTTAACTTTCTTAGCACATAATATTGATAGATGTCTCATACAACTGTAGCGAATCATTTTCACGTGACGCCATAAAGTGGTACTTGGAACCTCATTACACAATGATGCTGATTTAACTCTATCTACAACCGCCTTTATGGCATTTGTTATTGAAATTTCATTCAAATTTTGTCTCTTAGTTTTTGTTATAGTTACTCACCTCGATTTTGTTTAATTACAAATATCTATTGCTAAATTGATACGATTTGAATCCGATATTTAGTTGAATGTCATGTTCTGTTCCGGTTGCGGCTACTTTTTCATTTTTCTTGGTCTTTAGGTTGATTCCATCTTTGTTTTTCCGTTTATTGGGGTTTTCGCTCCTGTTGATGGCGAAGTTAGGTTCTCCCATTATTGTGCCGTGTTTCACTACATGAGTCACTTTAGTGTTCTCTAAATTAGGTTCCACTGCACTGAGTTCTTGTGTATTGCCACTGTCACATTGCATGCCTGTGGGCCTTAATGGTTTAATACTTTTTAACTTTTGACAATTATTCACTTTGGTTATTTTTATTTTAAAACTGAGTGGAGAGTAAACTAGTATGTGCACCGAAAAACATTCAACGTTGTAAGTGATTTTCTTCACAAAGAATGCAGCTCTTTTATACACTTTGGCTCCACCTACCTCCTGATCCCCCACTATTAGCATGGTAAGTTGCGTAGGGGAGTTGTTATGACAACAAAAACTGAAACACCACCCTTCTTTAAATATTTTATACACATTCCTTACGTTTGATTTATGGCTGTCCTACACTACAAGACATGAATAGTGTCCATTGCAATTGTTGTAGTTTTTTTTAAAGTTATACATGCGATTTCCTATACCTTCCTATACTTTATTAAGACACCATTTATGCTGAATAATGTATTTGCTTGAATTGTATCATACTCATTTACATTTAAAGATTAAAAAAAAAAAACATTTCAATTTAGCATGATTCTTTCTTTTGCACCTTGACGATATTCAAATGTTTCCTCTTATCGACTGGGAGATACATTATTTCCTTATCACGAACGTAACCTTGTTATAATATGAAACTGATTTCATGTGAACTTGATAGACAGTAGTATCGGGTTTCAGTAGTAATAAAAATAATTCAAGTTATTAAAAATTGAAAATAGTTTATACCAGTCTTTAATTTTTAAACTAAATAAGGAATTCAAAATTCATACAAAATTCTAACGTTTTTAATGTCAATTTGATTCATTTTTAATCATGATTTCTCTCCATTATAATGGTTTATTGTATATCGAATATCGTAAATAAAACTACTAAATAAGCGCAATGTTTGTAGTTTGAAATAAAGGCAGAAATTTTGTTGTAGAGATTAATTTATAGTTTAGACTAGCTTGGCTAACAGTAATTTAATATTAAATTAAATACTTTATAAACACCAAGTGTGGATTTAACACATTTAAACTATAAGAAATCAAAAAAGAATATTAAAAATATCTGAATATAATGTAAATAGAGATTTTATCCAAAGAAACCTTGAGCATTTCAAATGTATTTGGATCCTGTGGCGTCCAATATCCTATGGATGTTCTACATCCCTTACCGCTTTCGTTTCGACAAGTGTACACCATATATATATATATATATCTACATATGCATATGTAGAAGTATGCCACACGTAGGTCGGTTTTCCATGAACGACAAGGGAAGCAAGGATTAGAATTAATGGAGTACTAAACTTTCATAGCTCCCCCTACGATTCTCTAGGATTTAGATTATTATTATTGTAGCTTTGATCGCTCGACTGGCATCGTGCTATGAATTCTCTTAAAGCAAAATTCAGATTTTGACGATTCTCATTTTATTTCATATAGATAATAAAATCCGTTCAAGGTCATTTTTTTCAAATATTTGAGTAATACTAAAATTTATGTAATGCAATAAAATTTTGTGATTATCAAAAAAGTAACAAATATCATTGTTTACCAGCAAACTCACCAATAGATTATATCTAATATGTTGTGTTTTTTTTTACTTAAATTTGATCTACGTATACACTGAGAAAATTTTTTTTAAGTTTTACAAGGAGGCCCAATAAATTTTACTGGGACACTCCAGTAATGTGAAACCATATGCGCGGGTGTAGTAAAATTTACGGGGCGAGTAGTAAAAATTCTTAGGTGAAAAAAATTTTTCCGGCTGTAGAAATTTTACTGCGTTCCCGAATAAATTTTATCGAGTTTCTAAGTGAAAATTCAGTGAGTCTCTCAGCAAAATTTACTTTGTTTGATAGTAAATTTTATGAAGTTTTAAGTAATTTATGAATAAGTAAAGACGAAGAAATGATATTTCAATAAATCTAATTTTTATTACATATTATTGCTGATCAATGATATTGATAATTTGAAAAATATATATACAATCATCGTTTATATCTCCTAAAGAGAATATTTTATATATACCTCAAATTGCCAATGCTAGTGATCAACGATACTGTTAAATACTAATTATTAAAAATTATAAGTAATGTTCGAATATATCTGATTATAAGTAAAAATTACTAATTAAGTAATTATTCTGACATATTGTTGAAAGTAAACTTTGCACGAATAATAGGTAAAATATACATTATAACTTAAGTAAACAGGATCAACGCACCAGTAAATAAACAGTCACCAGTAAATTAATTACTTGGTCAGTATATACATATGTTGGCACTATGTAGATATTCTGTACATACTGTATATCTACATTCGATTTTCTTTAAAAATTTCATTAATTTTGTTTAGTGTCTTGAAGATAGATCATTTAAATTGCTTTTCGTAAATTTCGTGTATAAGTCGTCATGCAGTGCTCCTATTTTACTGATTGATCAAAAAAAATTTTTAATTTTTACCGATTAATAATTATCGATATCCTTGATTGTTGATTCATTAGTGCATTAATCCTATTCATTAAAAATATGTAAAAATAAAAATATTGTAAATGTTGCATGAAAACAAATATACAAAACCCGAGTAAAAATTTTATTTGTAAAAAATACAGAAAAACTGTAGAAGAATAGTTTAAAGGTATTTTTCAATTATTATTTTTCAAAAATATAATTATTCAATGTTTATTTCAGTCGTTCCTCAATTAAAAATCGCGAAAATGCCAATTGTTATCCAACGAAATGTTTTTGTAGTAACAGAATGTGAACCTACGACTGTTTACACATACAGCTTAATCCAAATTCTAATGACGTTAGAAAGATTTTTTTAAAAATAAAGTTCAAAAAATTTTGAATACGATAGATATATTATTGAAATGATTGATTTAAATAAAAATCGATAAAAATAACATTGACATTAAAATAGTTGTAGGGAGGTACTTTTGTGACGTTCTGTAACAATCGTACATTGTTAATAACGAATTTCAAGAGATTATCGCAAAGGTTTTTTTATGTTTCATTTATTAGTATTATATGAACAACCTAGGTGATCAGTTAGTATTAGAGATGACTTCACAAAAGTCCGAAGTAAACAAAACTTTTGACTGCATTTTTAAAGTTCTGCAGACATCTCATGTTAATGTAACTTGCATGTGAGTAAATCTGACTCTGTAAGAAAAAAATTTTTACATAATAAATTGAGTAAATTAGCTTAAGAATTTTTCTACAGCGTCAATAAGAAAATCGTATTGGTAGCATTGGTTTAATGATAAAGTTTCAAAAAATCAATTATATGTATGTAATCGTAATACATGTCAGTAACATTTTTCTTTGTGTAAAATTTTACCACTACAAACTTCTCATCAAACTTCAATAATTATTACGGTCTAGAAAAAAAAGATCCTGCATCATTCCGAACGAGTTCTGTTTCAAAACGTTCCACGAATAAAATGAAACGGAATTTTTGCGAGATTCTGGAAGAACGCCTGAAAAATCCTCGAAGAATTCCAAAAGAATTTTATAAGAATGTAAAAAAATTTTTATTCAGTTTTCGAAATTTAAAATGATTTTTATTACTTACTAATGGTCTATAAATAATGAAATTGTACTGAGGTGATTTTCGCCATTGATCAATCTTCTACCCAAATTCGATATTTGTAACCTACAATAAAAAGAAAGTATAAATTACAAAAATAGTTAAAAAATTTTTTAACAAAATTTAAATTAATGTAAAGCTAATTTAAATGTCTGATAATTTATTTCTTCTTTTAATTCTTACTTTCTACGGAATCAAAAAATCATCATTTTCTAACTATATTACTAGTTCCTTTTTCGTTCATTAAATTCTCACCCAATTTTTTTTCGCTTCAGTTTGAATACATTTTATAAATGCTTTTTAAAAAAAACTACATTTGATCTACTCCAAATTTTACTATTTTTATAATAAATACGTAATCATCTATTTTTATGTATTTATTGGTATTTATCGTTATAACAATCAGAGAGCTAATAGATTCATCACTTTATTAATAAAAATCAAAGGAATTTTATATGTAGTTTTTGTTCAAGCCATTTCTACTTTTCATAACTATTCTATCCATGAGTATTATGTCTGACTTTCTCGCAAAAAAAAGAAAAAAACACATTATTTTTATCTCGAGCAAAAAGCAGAATGATTTGTGTGTTAAAGTAAGAAATATAAACAGAAAATGTTAGAGCTCTATTGATATAGAGACAAAAAACTAGCCAACACAAGAATATTCTTTTTATGTTGAAAAAAAAGGTCAGAAAAAATGCAAATATGAAGGATGTGAGTTCTCTTTCTCATAAAATTCACTTGTGTACGGTTAGTGTTTCTCGGTCATAGTACTTCTAATATCCTATATTTGGAACCGTATTTTTTTCAAGAAGATTAAAAAAAATAAATAAAAAAGCTTTAGAACTCTTCTGAAGGATACCATCCCAACAATTTACTTGATATAAATAGCAACTAAATAAAAATCCTGGGCTGGATTCTTAAGAATCCTTTGCGGAGCTTCTTCTTAGTCAAACAATGCCTTTTATGACGTTTGAGAATTTTTTTATTGAAGATATTACATTGATGAAGAAAATATGTAAAAGGAATGTAATTTTATTTTGTAATAAATAGTAATAACTCGTCATTAAAGAGCATGAATATATTTTTGTATATAGAGTATTTTGGAGTGGTAATAGGACTTTCGAATATTGTTTTTTTACTTGTTTCATGTCGATTTAATTAGATTCAAACAAAATTTATATTAGACTCATGGATTAACAAATCATAAATTGTTTAAAAATTTAATTTTTGTAATTTATTTTGATTAAATGTACAGTTGAGAACTTCGTAATTTTGATATCTATCTGAATAAAATTAAGATGTCTTATTGTGATGTCGAGAGAATTGTTTTTAACTAAGCTAAGAGGATTATTTGCATGTTATTAAAACGTAAATAACCATTTTTAAACTTTTTTAGACAAAAAAAAGGGAATGTTAAGACAGATGTACGCGAATTATTTTTATTTTTGATTATTGAAAACGATTATAATTGTTAGATGTAGGGAGAAAAACTCTTACACGCAGAAAAATGTATAGTAAAAATTACCCTGAATTTTACAATTGAAATGAAGGTGAAATTAAGGTGTAAAAATTACTATGCAGTATGGTAATTTTTAGAATTTGTACAGTAATTTTTACAATGTGTATAGTAATTTTTACCCTCACCCTGCAGTGTAACCAAATTACTATAAAATTCAGGGTAATTTTTACTATTTATTTCTCTGCGTGTACTAATTGAATGAAAAAAAAAAACGCCAGATTTAATTGACTTCACTAAAGTACAATTATCAACAAATGTGCATTTATTTTAACAATTGATATTGTTTATTGCAATTTATTTATGAAACACTCTAAAATAATCAGAGAAATATTTTGGAAAATTACATACTTTTTTCAAAAATAAAATTGTTTTAAACATCGGAAAGGGAAAATATGGAATATTTGAATGAAAATCTTCTATTTCCATCAAAAAATTAAAATACATTTACAACGCTTAAGTTTTATGTAGACAAAGTCACGGGTAAAAACTAGTTTTGAATAACGATCAAAAAATTCATCGATTTCGTAGCAATTAAGTTCATGTACGAAATGTGATCTATTACAAACTCGGTTAATAACAGAAACAAGTTGTAGACCTCATTACATTCTAGTAGTTAAATCTCTGATCTTACAGCCATTAGTGATGTTATAACTAAAAAAAAGATTGCAAACTGATGAATTAAATAAAATAATTTCCATGATCTTAGTTTCGTTCATCAGAATTTAACCTTTTCGCAGTGCCGATGCACGTGCTGACCACCTAGTTTAGATTGTGGTAAATACAATATACTCACAGTATTTTTTAACAACTATTTTATTAATATAAAATAAAAGAATACCCGTTAAATTAATTTAATCCAGAAGAACAAAGCTTATAAAATTACTGTAATTTGCAACAAGTCTTTATGTTTAAAATTTCAAGAATATCACATTTCACCGTCTTATGCAAATCTTGTTCGTTTTTCGTTTTGTTTTTACTAATGGAATCTTGTAATAGGCGAAATTATAGATAAATTTTACACGTGTAAAATATATTATTTTACGCGAGATAGTAAAGTTGATCTCTATGTGGTAAACTTTTGGTACTTTAAAACTTGGTTAACTTATAGATAATGATTTGTGGAGTAAAATGACAAGCTATCTAACGAAGTTTAAAGACCAGAGGGGATTTCAATTTATTCGATACACTGCCCTGAAGGTTCGTCGATCGTCTAATCTACACTTGGCTAAGTAGTCCTTGACTAACCGCGTACACTGATATTTTTGACTATTTTTCACCATTCAAAAGAGTCTCCGTGCGCGTTTTTATTCATTTGATATGTGTATAAAATCACATTTTAATGTTATTTTCTGTCACAAGATCCATACCTAAATACCAAAGCAGACGCGTTTGGTACGACTACAGATGTTTGCAGTTCTTTTGCAAGATTTCGCAATGCCTTTGAAAAATGCTGTCTTACGAATAGGATGTACTACTAAAATTGGACCAGTGAAAACCAATGTGAATCTGTACTTATTTACTGGTTTTTAGTGCTCATACAATCGTTGAATAAATCAATAATTAGATTGGCATTGCCACTGCACCACAAATGATTGGTTGAGATATTCATTGTAGTTAATTCATAATCATGCGATGTGAGCAGATGACTGAAAACCAGCGTCACTAGCAAGGTGCTATACAATGTTTACTGACGTTCGTACCTTCCCAGTACCAATGAGTTTGTTCAGATTCGATAAGATTTAGACCGACGATGAGTTCTGATTTGTCACTGTAGACAAGTAACTGCTGAATTATTTCTTTTCAGTAGAATATTCTGAAGAGAGAGAATTCAGAAATTATTTGTGAGTTTACGTATACCAAAATTTGTTAAGCAATTCATCAGAGAATTTCTAATACTTGTATTAAAAAAATAAATTATATTTTTTTTCTGTAAAAATTAATTAACAAACACATTGATATTAGTTTCCTGAATTAAATTTCATCATGAAAACCTGTTGTAATGCTTTAATCGATACTTTACACTTAATTGCTTTTAAACATACAGTTAAAGAGCTCCGAAAATTGAAAAACTCTATTGATTAAGTACAAAAATTTTCTATTTCAATTGTAAAAAATCTTAAGTAAACTACGTAAGAGTCAATTCAAAAAAAAAAAATAAGAAAAAATATGCAAGATTTAATAAAAAATACTTTCTTCCAGACGTGTACTATGTAGTAACAGATATTAGAAACGTGCTGCAATTGTGGGAAACTACCACGTCACGTACGAGGGTGACAAGAGCTGGTGATAAGGTTTTACTTCGCTATCCAACGTCAGATTGACCTGCTCTCTTCGGGTTTAAAAGTAGGAGAAGAATAAAAGTGTATATCTACGATAGAGATGTCATAGTTTTCGTATCCTACATACTCTCGAAACTTAGGGAAGGAGGAAATCGAAAAACGTTTTCTTATTTCTGTTGCGATTCTGAGATTTTTATCAATAGTTTGTTATTATGATACATTATAGAAGACTTTTATGTGTATCCATCTAAAAAAATTTTTCTTCTTACAAATATTTGTAAAAGAGATCAGAAAAAAAAATGATAGAAATGGAAATATTTTATTAACGTTATTATAAAAATAACCTTGACTTTGAATGAACTAAATGTATGCTTACGTACAAAGTGATTGAAAGTATTCCAATTATTGTAGAAAATTTAATTTAATTAAAAAATAGATAGATGAATGAATTTTTGCAGGTATTTGAAAAATGCAACACGAGTTTCGACAAATTTAATTAATTCTCCGTTAGTTTGGAATTAATCAGGGAAGGGATTTCGAAATAAAATAAGATTAAATTTTTTATTTACACTTAAGAAGATGGAAGAGTATGTAATGAAGAAATGTTTGTAACAAAAAATTAAATAGTTCGTGCTGTATGAAGTAAAAATTAATCAAAATTCAGTAAACGTAGACTTGATTAAAAATTTCGAATGAAAACAATGAAAACTAAAAATTTTAAGTCTGTTTTTTTGTAAAATTAAATTAAAAACTTTGGTTACGCTTTTGAATTAATAATAGGACTAATATTGATTTTTATAATCACTTCTTGAGTGATGTTTTTCCGTTTTAAGAATATTTTTATTCTTCCCAAAAATTGAAAGAAAAAAGTTGTACTGATAAATTGTATTGTTTAAAGTAAATAAATATTAAATTCTTATTCAATGTTAGTCTACAAAAGTTTTCTCATCCTCATTTGTTTTCATTTCCTACGATATTTTATTTTCCGTAAGTTACAAATCCCATCTGTAAAACTTACTCGAGAAATCACCTCCAGTTTTTTTCGCTGACGTTAGATAAAGAAGTTTTAAGTATAGATAAATAAAACGACAAATACAGAACGGCCTTAGAGTAAATTGAAAAACTTTGTTTAAAAAAATTGAATGATAATAATTCAGTCTCTTAAAAAAAAACATCGATTAGTTATTGTTTCGAATAATAGAGATTGAAAATAAATAATAAAATTAAGAGGACAGATGAAACTCTAGAATTGTTCGGACTGTAAA